CCCCTGGAGAAAGACAGGCTGCTCAGGACACCTGGGGTCAAGGCCGGTATCTGGGGCGGGGGCGGCCGCTGGGCTGTCCCTGTGGTGTCCCAGGATGTGAGCGGAGGTGGCTTCTCTGGGGCCCTTCCTGAGCGCTGGGGTCACCTGGGGAGGCTGCTGGCCCAGCTCCCCTAGTGGCTGGTTTTAGCCCCTCTCCTGACCCTGAACAGGGTCCGCGCGGGCCCCTCCCCGGGCTCCCCGGCAGCCCGGCTGTTTCTGTGGGGAAGGCCTGTTGTCAGGGCTCGGTGGGCATTGACCAGGCCGGGGGCCCACAGCCCCACAAAGGGATTTAGGGCTTCAGCTCGACCCCAGGCTGCGCCCAGCAGGTTCGGGGAAGCAGGGGTCTCGTGGGACCTGAGGGGCCTGGAGCTCTGTCCGAGCAGAATGGGGTCTCACTCCTTTCCAAGGGGGCAGAGTCCCGTGGGTGGGGCTTCCCTGTACTCGCAGGTGTGGGGGCTCTGTGGGGACCGTGGGAGCCTGCTGGGGCTGGCACCCCACCACCCTGCACTCCTCTGGCCTGCTCCACGCCCCCTGCTCGCCCTGGGGCTTGGTGGGAACGGCACCCCAGCACGACCCCTGCATGGAGGCCAAGGCCGGCAGCACCCCTCTCTGGCCGCGTGACCTGGGACCAGTGCTCAAAGCCGTGTCTCCAGTCTCTCCCTCTAGGAAGGGGTGACGATGACACCGGGAGACAGAGAGGGCAGCTCCGGGCCCCCTGACTGGCTCACTGTGGACCTCCTGGAGCCTGGCCTTCTCCCGGTGACACGGGCCCGAGGTGAGGTCCAGTGCACTGCCCAGCCGGGAGCTGTGCCCTTGTGGCCAGCTGTGTGGTCACAGCTTCCGATGTTCAGGGTCCTCAGGGCTGGAACCCGACTCCTCGTACCCCAGATGTCCTAGAACTCAGACCCCAAACGTGTGCTGTTCTCCAGCAACCCGAGAGCCCAGTCCGTGGGTGCCGGGGGCGCGCAGCTCTGTCTGCGGGCCGGAGGCCTCTGTGGGTGCGGCCGGGGTGGGCCGGGAGGGGCCCGCTGCCTGCACCCCGAGAGCTGGTCCAGAGCGGCGGAGGCAGACACACAGGACACACCCCCTGCTCCGTGGAGCATGGAAACAGTCATCAAGCACTTTGGAGAACAAGGCAAAGAGGAAAACACTCATTAGAGGCAGAAATAGTTTCCAAATGAGCCACAGAGTCGCTGGGAAGTCTGGCCCGGAGGGGCCTGTCCTCCTGGGGCGCGGGCAGGGGGGACCCACACAAAGGGAAAAGGGGATGCCGGAGAGGACCAGGGAGGCCCTGAGCCAAAGCACTCAGAACCCCAAGCAGGAGAGGCCACGGGCAGCGATGGAGGCCCTTGCTGTCTGACTCGGCCTGGGGGTAGCCCAGCCGGCAGGAGGGGGCTGCACCTCCCCCTGCCCCAGCAAAGCTCAAGGACCAATAGCTGCAGAGATGAGCACGTTCAGGAGGCAGAGAGAGAGGAATGGGGTGGCCTGAGCCCAGCCTGGCGCCACCACCAACCCGCGGGGGACCCTGGGCCTGGCCCTGCCTTCCCAGGGCCTCCGGCTGCAGCCAGGTGATGTACTGGGCAGGTCTGACGGAGCCTGGGGCCCTGACAGCTGTGACAACGGGGCCCCAGTGATGCCGATGACATGACAAGAGGAGGTGTGCCGGCCCGCGGCGGGGGCTTCTCAAGGTCACAGGCAAATCTGCCAAAGGCCCTGCTGCAGCTGGAGAAGTGGTCTGAGCTCAGGTGGTTTGGACTCAGAGTGGCCTGGGGTTTCCAGATGCCACCCTGGGCAGGTGACCTCACGGGCTACCTCCAGTCACAGCAGTGACCTGGTACACCGACGGGCTAATGAAGTGGCCTGAGTCCCTTCACTCCAGGGGAGACCCTGCTCACGTCCTGACACAATATCTATTAGCACTGGGGGGAGGGAGGGAGGGGGCGGCGAGAGGGAGAGAGCTCCCCTGAAACCCGCTCACACGGAAGCCCTGGGTGCCCGTCAGCTCCTGTCTGCCCCTGAGCCTCTGCTCTGATGGGCATGGCGGCCTCCGTGCCCGGGTCTGGCAGGCTCACTCAGCCGGCAGCAGAACCACGGCCCTCCCTGTCTGTCTGAGGCTCTGTGCCGGCTGCCTGGGGGCCGGAGGGCGGCAGGTCCCCCTCAGGAGCCCACAGTCTGGCTGCAGAGGAAACCGGGCCTGGGCGGGCAGGAGTCCCGCTGCAGAATCAGCCGGAGGACCTCAGAGGCTGGAGGCCGCTCTCGGCCTGCAGGGCACCACAGTCAGCTGAGCCGGGACAGCCGCAGGGGTGGAGGGGCGGCCCCTCGAGGAAGTCCTCCTTCACCCAGAGCCCACCTCCCAGCCTCCTCCCAGCCCCTTTCCTTTCTGGACGCCTCCCCCATCCTGGTCAGTCGGCTCACCCTGGGCAGGGCCTGTGAGGTGCGTGGCCAGGCCCCTGCCCCTTGCCCCGCAGCCTGTCCTGTTCGGGCACCAGGCTGGCTTCTCTGGAGCCCGGCTGGCACCTGGGCGGCCTCCCTCCTCGGTGCTGAACCTTCGCGCCCACCCCATCTTCCTCTTGGTGACTGGTGTCGGCCACACTCGGGCCAGTGTCCATCTGGGCCAGTGTCTCGTGGCTCCTTTCCTGCTTCCTCCCAGACAGGAAACCTGGCCCCGCCGTCGTGATCCTGGTGATGTAATTAGCACCGGAACTAATGGCCCTGAGCGGCTGGCCGGTGCGTGGGCCCTTGGCTCTGCACGGACCTGAGTCACACTAATTGCTTTGGCCTTCGATCCTCGACCTCCCACTGCCCGGACCGACCGGGAGAGGAGCCCCACAGCTGTGTGCATCCCTCCCGTCACCTGCTCCCCAGCTAAGAGCCGCGCTCCAAGCAGCCAAGAGGGGTACGCTGACAGTGCCCCGGGAGTGGGAGAGAAAGTAAAGAGGCCCAGATTAGCCCTGAAGAAACTGGATCTGGGGGTGCTGGCCTCTGCGGGGACTCAGGCTCCCCCACCTGCTGGAAGAGGACAAGCCCAGGTATGTCTCAGCACAAGGCGGCCAAGGACTGAAGTCCCAGGGAGCGGGACCGGGACAGAGGAGTGGAGCCCCCTACTCCCCGCCTAGCCCCAAAGCAAGCCAGGAACACCCAGATTTAAGAGGAACCTGGCTTGAGGCACCTGACTGAGTGGGATCCAGTTTGGGGAGTAAAAAGCTCAGACCCCCGGGCTGCCTGACAGTGTCGGATTCCGGGGAAGTAAATTTAGTGGAATTAAAAAGCCACGGAGCGCGATGGAACAACAGGTGGCAGATGGAGGCTGGGGTGCAGGAGGGCAGGCCTGGAGGGGGCGAAGCACCCGTACAGCAGGCCGCTGGGGCTGCTGGAGCGGCTGGCTGGTGGGAGCCGGCTTTGGGGTGCGGCTCCAACAGGAGGAGGGAAGTAGCCAGCAGAGGGGGAGCTTGGGGAGGTGTTCTGATGGGACATGAAAACCGAAAAGGGTTTAAAAAGCCCAAACAGGACCCGTCAGGGATTGGGAGACCCAGAAAGGAGTGTGCAGGCAGAGGGTGACCCTGGGACGGGGGGCAGGCTCTCACCCCCCACAGCTCGGCTCTCCCACACTACCCCCCCCCCCGGCAGGTACACAAGAAAGCCACTCGCTAAATGGCAGAACGCCTTGGGTCCATCCTTATGAGCCAGACTGGGAATTGTCATCCTGTGACCACCGGAAGGTCCCCCTCACAAGGACACAGGGCCGAGCAATTAGCAAGCCAGGTGCTACCAGGCCGACGCCCAGGAGTCAGACCCTGGGGAACTAACCACAGGGATGTGCCGGGAAAGCGGCGTCTGCAGATCAGCACAGCCTCAGACGGGCTCGGGCGTCATCCACTAATGAACTCAGACAATTATTTCTGGGAACTGAGGGAGAACGGAAAGGCTTGGAGCGGGGAAGCCTTGGCGTCCACACCGAGATGGCTCTGGGCCCTGCAGACACCTTCCAAGCCACCTTCCCTGAAACCAGGGGCCTCCCTGCAGCCCGTGGACACAGCCGTCTTCTCGGGAACACGCGCCACACCCCAAGGGCAGGGAGATCCGCAGACGCGGGGCCTGGGGGCTGGCGAAGCTGAACAACGGTGGATGCAGACAGCCCCACAGCGGGGAAGGCTGCAGGCAGCAGTTCCTGGGTGGAGGCAGGAGCAAGAACTTGGGTGATGGTGCCCTGCCCACCGGGAGGGGTTCTAAGAGCAGCTGCCAACCAGAGGCCACGCTTCGGGAGAGACCCAGACGCAGCCTGACTGGGCGCATCCCTCAGACCTCCCCACTCGCACAGCGGCACCTTTTAGCAGGAAAGGGACCAGCAGTGACCACCCATCGGCAAGACGGCCCCGTGGTGGCCCAGGGCTGACTCAGCCAGGCTATGCACCAGCACCACGGACAGCGACCTGGGAGCCTGGGGACCCTATTGGGCAAGGACACCTGGCAGCTTCCCCCGCCACTTTTCAATCCTGCTACGCAGCAGACATCACAAATCGATTACAGAACTCCTTCCCACTGAGCCTGGAGCTCCCCTGCTCCCGACAACCGAACCACCGGCCCGATCAATCCAGATCAATCCAACCGCAACTGGTGCGCGTCCAGGAGCTGATGTTCCACACATGCCAACAACTAACCCACAAGAGAAAAGGAAGGTGCAGCTTTCAACTGCGGGGGGCAGGAGGCTCGGCCTGCCTTCTGTCCCATCCAGAGGACCCGAGGCACTCTCGAAACACCTGGAGAGGCTCTGTTCCCCTGGGACCGTGAGCACCACCCCCACCCACCAGCGAGCCCCCGTGCCACACGCCAAGCAGAGCTGGCCAGTGCCGAGCCCCGGGCCTCAGCCAGGGGCCGCCGCACGCGGGAGCCCCACCCACTCGGTCCCTCCGCAGCCCCTTCCCCGCGGAGACGGAAGAAGAAATCCAGTCCCAGCCACCTACCTGAAGGAGCCAGTAGCACCTCCGGTGGAAGGTGGGGATGATGGAGGAATGGACATAGCAGCCGTACAAGCACTAGGGAGAGAGGAAAAACGAGAATTCAGTTGGAAAGAAGGAAGGGAGGCAGGAAGACGGCGCAACAGAGAAGGAGCGAGGAAGGACGGCAGACACGGCCAGCGCCCGGGGAGACCGAGAGCGGGCGCCTCTGCGTCTGGCCCCAGGACCGAGAACCGGGTCTGTGGCAGGACGGTGTCTGGGAGGCACAGCTGAAGTACCAGAGGGACACCTGACGGGCAGCTGGGCGCTCACCCTTTCGGGGGCCGTGGAGGCGTGTGAGGACCCAGACAAGCCAGGGGCCAGGGGGCTGCACATACGGACACAGTTTTGTCTATAATTAGGGGCTTGAAGTTACCCTGAAGTTCATTCAGGGAGCCTACGTTAAGGCCCCTTGGTGGGCAGGGAGGGGCGGATGGTCACAGAACTGATTCACATACACACACACTGCAGACCTTTCCCAGGCCAAGGAGCGTCACGCCCGACAGGGCAGCCCCGGCTGGCGGGAGCCCAAGGCTGGTGGGCCGGGGAGGCAGCACCCCCAGGTCTCACCTCCAGAGCCCCCCTTCCCGGTTCTGACTTACAGTTTATTTATTCACAGATTTGTCTGTTCTAAGTATAAACCTGCACCTTTGGCCGGTTGGATTCCCGGTCAGGGCAGGTTGTGGGCCAGATCCCCAGTGGGGCGCAGGCAGGAGGCGGCCAATCGATGTTCTCTCTCATCGATGTTTATCTCTCTCCCCCTCTCCCTTCTTCTCTCTCTAAAATCAATAAAGGAAAACAATTTTTTTTTTTTTTTTAATTCACGCCTACATCTTTCTTCGGCAGATGGACCTGGCTTTAGAAAGCCAGGCTGGCTCTAAGGGGAACAGAGGAATCGGGCGGGTGGGAGCTCAAGCTCAGGGGCAGCGTGTGGGGTGGGCGGGAGGGGGCACACAGAACCGGGGGTGCAGCTGTGTTTCTGGGGCGTCTGGCTGGCAGAGGCGGGAAAAGGACAAGAAGGGCAAGTCACCGGGCGCCTTCTGACCTCCGAACTCTGAAGGTCTGAGTGGGAGGGGATTCGGCCTTTGCCTTTCGGCCCCCAGTCCCAAATTGGAACGTTCTCCTTCCAGCTCCGTGGGGGTTCCCCTGGGCAGGGCCAGCAGAGCAGGGAAGGACGGCCAAGGTCAGCCCTTCCCCTCCACTGCTCCCCGCTCTCTCGCTCCTGGCCCTCCACCCAGCACCCACTCTGCAGAGCCCCCATCAGACACCTTTGCACCCCCCAAAGACACCAGGTGTGAGCGGCTTCGGCCGCGCCCGGCCTGTCTGATTGGCAGAGCTGAAAGAGAAATCATTTCGGGCTGTGGGATTCTGGCTGTGAGCAAGCGGATCCCGGGTACGTGAGAACTTTCCCACATTGCTGTCAGCTGGGACTTACGCCCCGTACAAACCACACAAACAAAGCGGAAATTAATTTAAACGATTCCCTTGCAATTCTTGCCCACGGAATGTATTCATTATTAAGAAGGCAATATTCTTCCCTGGCATCCCGGTACCCTTTCTCTCTCCGTGTTCGTCGGTCTTTATTTCTGATCACTTGTTCCTTTCCGCCCAAGGACACGCGCATTTGGGCCTCGTTCCCCGAGCCTTTGGCCGCCGCGGGGCCGCCAACCCGCCTTCCCCGTGGAATGGCGTGTCCTCGGGGGCAGCTTCCAGGAGTGTCCCCCTGCAGGGACCTAATGCAGGGGGACATCAGTTCTGTGAGAGTCTCTCCGTCCCCTTGAAATAAAAGGCTTCCCCAGTGCCTTCTCCTCTTCACCTTCTCTCTTGCCACCGCTGCTCCTTGAACTTGGAAAGAACGCGGCTGATCGGCGGCCCCCTGGCCCCCTCCCCTTGCTCTCTGCCTTCCTCTGGGTTGGGCTGCAGCCTCCTTGGACGGCGCAGGAGGGGGCCCCCAGGAATTTGCCCAGCACCGACTGTGTGTCCCTCTGCAGGGCACAGATGGGAAGCGCCTGCCCCCGCCCCCTCTCTCTGGCCCCCTCCCCTCCCCAGAACGGCCCAGAACCATCCAATTGGTAGAGGAAGTGAGAGAGAGAAATTGCCGTCGCTGCATCAAGGCTCATGCATTTTAATCAGAGGAACCCTCGGGGCCTCGCTCAGAACCCAGCTGCTCTATTTTTAGATATTACTCCAACCACCCTGGTGCTCCAGCGTCTCGGGTCTCCACAGATGAGAGGCGCAGTATTAGGAAGGCGGGAGAGGGGCGCTCGGCTGGCAGCGGACCCCTGATGAGCGGCAGCCACGTCACAGCATCACAGGAGGAAGGGAGAGTTCCCCGAGCCCGAGCCCGGAGGACAAGAGCCGCAGAGGCACCAGGCGCTGGGCATCCCTGGTCCCCGGCTCAGCACATTTGCCCCGAAGCTGTGTTCTGGGCTGGAAGCTCCTGGGGGGAGGGAACCTGGGACCTTCTGAAGGGAGGTGGCCGAGAGCTCTCCCACGGTGGCAGGCCCAGGACACCTGTCCCCACAGTGACACAGGAAAGGTCACGCAGACATCAGAGGCTTCAGTCTGGCTCGTGGTCCTGTGAGGTCTCACTAGGAAAGCAGCCTGGAAATGGCCCTGCAGTGAGGGGCTCCAAGGCCCAGTGGCTGGCACTGTCCTCGTGGGGAATGTGTCTGTGGTGAGTGGCGGTCAGCAAGGACAGGCCCCGGAGAGACAGTTCCTGCCGGGGGCGGGAGACCTCCCACTCATCAGCTGGGGTCCTTGTCCTCTGGGCTGTAAAACGGACACCGTCCTCCTGTCCCCTGGGTGGCTGTGAGGGTTGAGAGCTGGCGCTTGGGATGGGACGCCCGGGACAGTCCCTGAGCAGGTGGGGCGGGGGTCAGAGGAGGCTGTGGGGCTTTGAGAGGGGCAGGGTTGGCCAAGGGCAGAGTGGCAGGAAGAGCAGGTGGGGGATGGGAGGCAAGACAGAGCCAACCTTGAGGAGCTGGGATGGACCGGAGTGTCAGTGCGGGGCAAGGAGACTGCCTGGCAGGGGACACAGCTGTCAGGTCACAAAGGGCCATCGCAAGGAGTATGCTCTCCCCTCGGGCAGCAGGGACAGAAGAATGTCATGATCAGACGGGCGATTCAGAGCTCCCTGGGGTAGCCGTGTGGCCAGGCAGCAGAGTGAGGGAGGCTGGGCCCGATGACCAGGGAGCAGGGCAATGGCCACATGTGCCAGGTGCAAGGGCAACGCCCGGCTTCCTGGCGGGGTAGATGGGTACATGGGGTCCCGGACGTTCCCTGGGACAGGAAGCACTGGGGGAGCAGCTGGTGGGAGGGGCTGGCTCCCGATTTCCACTGGGTGACTGAGGAGCTCGTAAGATTCCAGGTGGAGACACGCAGAATGCAGTGGGCCACAGAGATCTGGGGCTCAGTCTGGGCTGGGGCGGGGGTGTCCACTCTGCAATGCAGAGCCAAGCCTTTCAGGGGGGCAAAGCAGGTGACGTGAACTTGCCAGGGCTTGGAGGGCACAGCCGACCGACCGGCCTCACTGGGTGCCCCCACCCCGGCCCTCTCCCCTGTCATTCGCCTCGCAACCCCAAACCACGGCCACAGCCTGCTCGGACCCCAGGCTCCCGTGCCAGCTCCCTTTGCCACCACTGCCCTCGCTGTGCGGTCTCTCCGCCATTTCCGGCCCCGTGACAGTGTCACTGCCGAGCCGATGGGGTTAACTGCAAACTATTTCACGAGGCAGCGTATCGAATCCGCCCCCTTTACCCACTAATCAAAAAAGCAATCCCGTTTGTCTGTAGCAGCCTGTGTTGTACAAACTCCTGGTGTTTTCTGATCAGGCTCCGGGGTCTCCTGGGGTTCCCTGGGTTGAGCTTTTCATTTGGGGGCCATGATATGGTTGGAGAGAGAGTCACATCCAGGGGCTGCTGGATATAGCGTATGTGTGTGCGTGTGTGCGCGTGTGTGCCTGCACACGCGTGTGGAGGTGGGTTCGGGAAAGTCGCACGTCCTGCTTGTGCGTGCACACAGGTGCGCACCGAGAAAGCAGCTAGCTGTGTAAAGGAGGACGGGGAGAGTCTCACCCTGCGGACGCAGGCAACGCGCATCCCCCCGCCCCCCCCGGGGGCTGAAGGCCCGGCAGCGCCCCTTCCCGCGGCTGAGCCCGGCAGTTCTTCTAAAACACTCACAGTGACTTTTATGACACTACGGGGCTTTTTCATTCTTTTTTCCTTTTCTTAAATAAAAGGGAAGATAGAATTAGAGGGGAACCAGTAGCCAACACGGGCTCCATTCAGATCACAGTCGACATTTCCCACAAACAGGGACATCTCTGAAAGGGGCACCGGCCACACATCTCTGCAAACAGATTTCTCCCCAACAGACTCAGCTGCCAGGGAGCCCCCCCGGGCCAGAGGGGCCGTCAGGGCCCACAGCCAACGGCCTCAGTGGACCAAAGGAGGACGCGCCCCAGGACGGCTTTATTGCTGGGGTGTGGGGCCGGGACCCTGCTTTCTTCCGGTTTCAGTGGCTTCACGTGATGTGGCTGATGCTCCATTTTCTTTCTCTCCATCTCCCTCCCTCTCTCTCTGTCTCCCCTTCTCTCTCAGGTACAAGCTCAGCCTTCTGTCCCCTCCACGCTGGGCTCCGGCTCCAGGAAACAATGACTGGCCGTCCCCAGGCAGACACACTGGGCTCTCTCGGTCCCACCACCCACGCAGCCCACCCAGCCGGGGCCATCTCAGCCCCCCCCAGGAAGCCCCTCCCGACCAGCCAGTGGAAGGGGTCCCTCGAAATGGCCCATTGGGGCCATGGGGATGTGGGTTCTGCCTCAGGCTCATGCAAAGCGTTGGCCCACTCTCTGGACTGGGCAGAGAGGAGAGACTTCGTGAGTCACGTGACCTCTGCTGGGCCTGCCCAGCTCGGCCCTTTGGGCACAGGCAGCCTTGACAGGCCGAACGGCTTGGCTGTGTCCCAGCAAAACTTCCTTCATGCCCTGGCCTGTCGGGCTCAGCGGTTAGAGCGTCAGCCCGTGGACCAAAGAGTGA